TGTACCAAACAGCTAAGTTGTGAATGCAAAGGAAAAGTTCTTAAAGGAAATCAAAGTTGCTACTCCAGTGAACACAGGAATGACAAGAAAGCAAAGCAGGCTTATTGCTGATAGAGAAAGTTTGAGTGGTCTGGATAGATGGCGAAACCAGCCACCACACTCCCTTAAACCAAATCCTAATCCAGAGCGACACCTGAACTCTCTTCAACTCTATAAAGGCTGAGAAAGGTGAGGAAGCTGCAGAAAAAAAAGTTTGAAGCTAGCAGATGTTCGTTTCTGAGGCTTAAAGAAAGGAGCCATCTCCATAACATGGAAGTGAAGATGAAGCAGCTGAGTGCTGATGGAAAATCTGCAGCAAGTTATCCAGGAGATCTAGCTAGGAAAATTGATGGAGGTGGCTACATTGAACAACATATTTTTTTTTTTTTTGAGATGGAGTTTCGCTCTTGTTACCCAGGCTGGAGTGCAATGGTGCAATCTCAGCTCACTGCATCTTCCGCCTCCTGGGATCAGGCAATTCTCCTGCCTCAGCCTCCTAAGTAGCTGGGATTACAGGCAAGCGCCACCATGCCCAGCCAATTTTTTGTATTTTTAGTAGAGACGGGGTTTCACCATGTTGACCAGGATGGTTTTGATCTGTTGACCTCGTGATCCACCTGCCTCGGCCTCCCAAAGTGCTGGGATTACAGGCGTGAGCCACCATGCCCGGCCTGAACAACATATTTTTAATGTAGATGAAACAGGCCGTATGGCATCTTCTTCCAAACAAGCCTTCCTCATATTGGAAGAAGGTGCCATCTAGGACTTTCATAGCTAGAGAGGAGAAGTCAACAAACACATGGCTTCAAAGCCGCAAAAGACAGGCTGACTCTCTTGTTACGGGCTAATGCAGTTAGTGACTTTAACCTGAAGCCAATGCTCTTTTACCATTTCAAAAATCCTGGGGCTTCTATACTAAATAGTTATACTATATATTATAGTATATAATAGTGTACTAAATATTATGCTGATTTAGTATAATCCTAGGGTTTATACTAAATCTACTCTGCCTCAGCTCTATAAATAAAGCAACAAAGTCTGGATGGCAGCACATCTGTTTACAGCATGGTTTGCTAAATATGTTAAGCCCACTGTTGAGACCTACTGCTCACAAAAAAAAAAAAAAAGATTTCTTTCAAAATATCACTGCTCATAGACACTACACCTAGTGACTCAAGAGCTCTGGTGGAAAAACACAGAAATATTAGTGCTGTTTTCATGCCTATTAACATAACCTCCGTTCCATAGTCCATCAATCAAGGAGTAATTTTTACTTTCAAGTCTTATTAATTAAGAATATATTTCATAAGATTATAGCTGCTATAGTTAGTGATTCCTCTGATGAATCTGAGCAAAATAAGCTGAAAACTTTCTGGAAAGGATTCACCATCCTAGATGCCATTAGGAACATTTGTGATTTATGGGAGGAGGTCAAAATATCCACATTAATGGGAATTTGAAAGATGTTGATTCCAACCCTCATGGATGACTTTGAGTTCAAGACTACAGTGGAGAAAGTTACTGCAGATGTGAACAGTAGGAGAACTGAATTAGATGTGGAGCCTGAAGCTGCGACTAAATTGCTGCAATCATGATAAAACTTAAATGGATGAAGAGTTTCTTCTTATGGATGAACAAAGAAAGTGGTTTATTGGGATGGAATCGACTCCTCATGAGGATGCTGTGAACATTGCTGAAAGAACAAAGGATTTAGAATTTTACAGAAACTTCACAGATAAAGCAGCAGCAGTTTGAGAGGATTGACTCCAGTGTTGAAAAAGTTGTACTGTGGGTAAAATGCTTCTCATGGTAGAGAGAAATGTTTCCTAAAAGGAAAAGTTAATCAATGCAATAAACTTCATTGTCTTATTTTAAGAAATTACCAAAGCCACCCTAAACCTTCAGCAACCAGCACTCTGATCAGTTAGCAGCCAGCAACATCTAGGAAAGACCCTCCACCAGCAAAAAGACAACTCCTTGAAGGATCAGATGATCATTAGCATTTTTTAGGAGTATGATATTTTCCAATTAAGGTAGTATATGTATTGGTTTTTATACAAAATAGTCCATAGTATAGTGAAAACGTAACTTTAATATGCACTGGAAAGTCAAAAAATCTATGTGACTTGCTTTACTGGGGTGGTCGGAACTGAACCTGCAATATCTCTGAGGTATGCCTGTGTATGAAGAGCTAACTAGAGAAAAGTTTCTCAGAAACAAAAAGCCACAATAGAAGCAAGACAGCCTAACTGAAAAAAATTAAAAGAAAAAGGAAAAAAAAAACTCTAGAAAGCACTCAGCCTTTGCTCAAAAAAGCCATTCGTTTGCTAGTGCGAGTTCTGATGAAGACCAAATCCTGTCTCAAGTACATGTTTGGAGCTTGCACTGAAGTTCTCCAAGGGCAGTTAACCACAATAAGAGATTGTATCTTGCATTCCAACTTGCATTCATTAAAATACAATTCTTAAAATGGTGAAATAGTCAGACGTTTGGTAGAGATCTTTCCAGTTGCTCATGACTTCATGTTCCTGCAAACATAACCTGTACTTTCTGTAAAAGGAAAATGAAAGAAGATGGGCGACTCTCAGTCAATCCATGTGACTTCTTGATAAGGACCTGTGATGTGGAGAAAATTGGATTTCCCAGAAGTTACCCTGCCACCACTCCCTTCAGATCCAGATTGAGCATATGTGTTACTTGGTGTAATTGTTGTCATAGAGATGATTCTTGTTTGTTAAATAAATGAACCAAATAGTTACAGAAAACTAGACAATGTAAACTGTACATGTATAAATAAGTTATTTCCCTTTAAATGTCACATGCCCGCATCTCTCCTTCTCTTGGTTTTTGAACTTTTTTTAATTAGAAAGATTCATAGTTTTCATCAAGAAGTTTAGTAAGTAAATATTTGGGCTATCTAATAAGTGTAAAATGTCACAAAAAACATTTAAAAACAAGCCAGAAATCCATATGGATGAGAAGAAAAGGGAGGTGGTGGTGATGGTGGTGGTGGTGGTTGTCCTGGTAATGGTGGTGTTGATGGTGGTGGTGGTTACAGTAGTGGTGGGTGGTCGTGGGTGTTCCAGGTAATTGTGGTGTTGATGGTGGTTGTGGTTATGGTGGTGGTGGTGGTAGTGGTAGTGATGGCGATGGTGGTAGTTGTTCCTGGTAATGGTGGTGTTGATGGAGACTGTGGTTATGATGGTAGTGGTGGTGTTGGAGGTGCTAGAGATGGCAGTGGTGGTGGTCATGGTGGTAATGGGAGTCGTGCTGATAGCAGTGGTGGTGGTATAAGTGGTGGCAGTTGTCCTGGTTATGGAGTTGGTCATGGAGATTGTGGTTATGGTGGTAGTGGTAGTGGTGGTGGTGGTGGTAGCAGTGGTCCTAGCTAAAGTGATAACAAGATGAAGTTCTAGAAATCAAAATATTTATCAACATAATATGTGATAGTAAATCTAATTAAACTGATTTGCATCGTATCTTAAGGGACAAAGTTATAGAAAATGAAACACGTTGGAAATCCTAAATTGAAAAGGTGGTTAGAAAATAAAATGACCGGGCTGGGCGCGGTGGCTCAAGCCTGTAATCCTAGCACTTTGGGAGGCCGAGGCAGGTGGATCACGAGGTCAAGAGATCGAGACCATCCTGCTCAAAATGGTGAAACCCCGTCTCTACTAAAGATACAAAAAATTAGCTGGGCATGGTGGCGCATGCCTGTAATTCCAGCTACTCAGGAGGCTGAGGTAGGAGAATTGCCTGAACCCAGGAGGCGGAGGTTGCAGTGAGCCGAGATCGCGCCATTGTACTCCAGCCTGGGTAACAAGAGTGAAACTCCATGTCAAAAAATAAAAAAAAAAAAGAAAAGAAAATGACCTTCTTCTTATCTTTGTTCCTCATTTGAAGCAATTATGAAATTAGACTAAAATTTTATTCTTCCTTAATGTTTTAAAGCCAGTTCCCCTGGGCCATCTCTGTGATTAACTGTCTTAATTTTCTAATTTAATTATACTTTCTCAGTCCCCTCCCTGCCATTAGTCTAGGTTATCCCTACAATTATCTCTTTTCTGAGCAACAACAGTTTCTAAATGTCTTCCCTGGCCACAATTTTGCCACCTCCATCCATTAGGTCCATTGTGCAAAGCATGATTTCTCTAAAATGCTTAACCGATGAGGTTGCTTCTCTAATCGAGACACTTCAGTGGTTCCAGGCACTTTGAAGCCCAAATTCTCTAAATGGCTTATTTATTTTTCATTAAGCATAATTGCTTTATTCTGCCAATACTTCTGTCTGAAATAGAGTCTATTGGCTTGATATCATGACAAAAAACTCCAGCATCAACTTTCATCTTGAAAAGTGTTTTCTAACCCACTCTTATATAATTGTTCATATTCTTGTTTAAGCCACACCCTTACATTGCATAGATTTCTGTATAACATTTTATTGGACCCAAAATGCGTGTTTCCTACAAAATACATTGTCTTTTTATCCAAGGATCTGATATTATTTTATTTTATAAAAAAATTTTGGCACACAGTATGTATGATGTTTATGGAATGAATGAATGAGTGAGTGAGTGAATAAGAGAATGGATGAATGAATAAATAAATGAATGGCACAGAACCTTCTGGTTAATACTATTTAGTCCCCACAGTTGAATGCTGCCACAGTAAGTAGCACTAATAATCATGGATGACAACATGGATGCAAATAAAAGAAGTTAAACCATTGTTTAAAGGTGTCTGTAAAAAGCTAACTTCCTACTTCATGAGAGTTTAGCTCTGCTTCAGAATATTTAAGAGTAAAGAGGTATTTATTCACTAACATGAAAAGAGAGAATTGAGAATTGGAATCTCTCTCGATATCCATGTTAATTTTTCCTTATTTTCCTTTAAGAATATTATGACCACATCCATAAAGGATCATAAAATCGGTATGAATTCAAGTAGAGAAATAAACAAACCTCTTAAAATGCCCTTTGCAACAATTGGTAATGATGTCAGTCTTCTCAGCCATTTGATATCTTCCCAGTTAATAGATGGGTCTATTGCTTTAACCACATATGCAGCAAGTCCACTGTCATCTCCAAAACTTTCCTCAGGAGAAAATGATAAAGTACTGTTTTCAAAATTTTTCATCCTAAAATGAGAGATGCATAAAATGAGAAACTTGCCAAAGTTAGAAATATCTTTACAATTATTCATTCAATGAAAAAAGTTACCCTTTTCAAATCAATTGGCTGTTCACTCCTCATTTATCTATAAGTCAATTTCATGCATATTTTCCATATTTTGATGTAGGACTGTAGACTAGATGTGACACTCTAGTGGTCTTAATCAGTGACCTAAAGTTTATTTTACACCTTAGCCTGTGTTTATACAAACAATTCCGTTTCAAGAAAAAAGAAGTGTCCATATTCAAACACCTCCTTTTTAAGACAGTTTATGGATATAGACAATAGAGTTGACACTGTTTTCAGCCAGCAATGTAAATTAATCATAATTTTAAAAACATTTTTATGGTGCTTTATAATTTACAAAGGGTTTCATATGCCAAAGTTATCACAATTTATTTCTTTAAAGGACTCTTAGAAAGTAAAACCGATACTCTATGATTCCCATAGAAAATAAAAACAGTGATACACAACAAATTGTCTCAAATATAAAACTAGCTAATAGTATTTGGGCACCAATCTAGGTCTCTTGACGTGGTTCCTAATTCTATTCTCTTTGCTCAGATCTGTTTCCTCCTGGTTATGATACCTGACCTCAGGAAACCTTACAATGCCCTTGTAGAAATTCTAGAAGAGGTTGGAACTGCAGTTAACAGGTGTTAACACTAGTGTCTGCTGCCCCTGTAGACTCCTTCCTGCCCTGCTAATGAGGTAGTGGTGGTTGTGGGCATGGGAGAAGTGGGAAGTGCTTGTCAGCAGATGAGTTGTTACCTCTTGCCTTTCCCTCTGCCTTTTAGTTGTTCTCTCTGAACCTCTCTGTCTGCTGACTCAAACTTCTCTAATCTTCCAGACAAGTTTGACAAGAACATGAGCTTTTCAATTATCAATACCTTCATTTCTCTGCCAGTGGTTTTTTTTTTTCCTTGCTCCTGAGCCTGACCCACACATCAGACTGGAAGCATTAGGGATGTTGAAGTGAAAATACCCCAGCTCCCTCACCCCTAGGTAGACTACCCCTGAGATAATTCTGCCTAAGCTCCCGAATTTTCCAGCAGGGTTAAGCTTCAGTTGCCCACAGCTGTAGCTGTGCTGGTAATATGCCCTTTGTTGAATGCCTTCTGTCCTTTGCCTCACTTTCCAACTCCTCTAACAGTATTCTCTTTACCTTCCAAATGAACTAATTGCACTTAAATCACAGGCTTACAGCCTGCTTCTAGGAGAACCCAAACTGAGACATGGTACCACTGAGTTGCTTCCTTCCCATGTGTCTATTTTCACCGACCCAGCTTAGCCCAGTATTTCTCTAACTCACTTCTAAGAATCTGCAGCTGGCTTCCCCTATGCCTGAGGTCCTTTCTCTTGGCCTAATATCCTGACTAGATTTTGGCAGTTCCCCACACTGGGAGCAACATCTTTTCAGCCTGCACCTCTGACTGTTAGATGGATGGATGACTTGAGGGTACACAATAGAATCATTCCTGTGACTTATCTGCCCACAGCCCCAAATCCAGTTGCAAACTTCTCCTGAAAGGCTGTTTTTGACAGTAACTGTGACTTCAGTGACAGTGACAGCAACTGGACTCACCTTGCTTTTCTGCATACTATTAATTCTCCTGCCAGTCAATCTCCTTTTTTGGTAAAAGTATACTTGTATGTACATTGATCTCTGGCTTAGTCCCTTCTCTTTCCCTCCACTAGTTCTGTCATTAAATGTAGAAAAGATCGTGGAGCCATATAAAAATTTATATATCATACTAGAAGAATCTAGCACACTATTTTAAAATTATTTTTAACAATCATGACTTCCTTAAATAGAAAACTGTGATTTTTTTTACACTTTAGTGTATTTTAGCTAACATAACTAGTTATGTAGCTTGGGTGGCATATATTATCATAAAGACGTGAACATTCACATTGCATATAACACAATTCATATCCCATATAACTCAATTCAAGCTGTTGACAAAGCTTTCTCAATAAGGATTTAAACAGTTAGTCCTATAGTTTCATGGACTCAGATGGCCATAAAAGATCATAGAAAATTTCAGTGAGTCATATGGATGCCCATCTAGTGGTTGGCTTTTCGTGGGGATTTTAGCTGAAATGCCTGGACTTTTGTTTATTTAAGTCAAACCACTTACAGTTGTACATTAGCTCGTAGTCCTTGGTCCTCTGTGTCACCCTAATTTGAATAAAGCTAACTTCTGCTCAATAAACATCCTTATCATGAAGACTTATTTTGTTACTTACAAATGATTAAATTATAATCAATTCCAAACTTTTAAATAATATCATTAATAAGAAAAAGTCCAATCTGTCTATCCCATAGCAAGACCAGGAAAAGAAAAAGAAAAACATCTGTATGTGTATATACTCTGCATGGCACCCCACCCCCATCCCAAACAAGCTCCAGTGTTTCGGCAGGGGTGGGGTGAAAGGGTGAAATGGATAGGAAAAAACAGAAACATGGATAAAATTATATAAATAACTGTTGTTATTCTTGGATGGTGAAATGCGGATCAACACTTGAATGAATGTTGCCTTACAGAAATTTCAGTGCACAATGAAGCCTTGTTGTTAGTCTGAAACTTTGTTCAAAGCCAGAAGCCAAGAAAAAGTTTTCAGATATCTTGACAGAGACTCACGATGGAGTGTTTTACCAAGGGCTCTGAAAGAAATCTCCATGAATGCTATTTTTATTCGGATTATGACATATATATAAAAAACACTTAAAGTGGCTTCTGATAACTAAAGTATTCCATTTCAAAAGGAGAAAAAGGGGAGAGATCAAAATAATAGCATGATTACTTAGGGCTTAATTCTCCAAATCCTGATCTGTTTAATGACGCAAAGGTAAGAAACAAGATTTCTTCTTTGTAAAGTGCTCATTATCTCTTGAGTGGCCCTAGAATATACATTTTAATATAGAAGGTGTTTTAGCTGTTAGTAATTTAGCATCATAAAAATAGTAACAATTGCTAATGTAAGTTAAACATTAACCAATAGTAATGATCATGAATATTGAGTAATATTGAAAAATATTATTTATTATAAGTATTGATAATGTAGCATTAAAGATAAAGCCACATAATTTTGTCTTGGGAAATGAAAAAATAAAATGACCAATAAAACCTACAGTATTAACAAAATATGAAAAGAAAGAGATGGAAAGAGGGGCTCTCATAAATACAGACATTGATACATGGGCCTCCAGACTTTAATTCTGCGGTTAGGAAAACACTTGTGTTGAAACACAGCCCTGGTAATTTCTTCCTCAATGTGGCTGCTAGAAGAAGGGTTCAGGGAATGAATTTTGAGTTCCAATCCCGGTTCAGCTCTTACTAGTTTTGCTACGTTGGGAAAATCTTGTATGTTCTAGTATGTTTTACTGATGAATATTCAACAATCACTTAGTGAGCATCTACTACATGCCAATGTTTTCAATGTTTAGGATATATCGATAAATAAAATAGTCAAGAATCCCTGTCCATGATAAGCATAATCAATAAGTAAATTACAAAGTATATCAGAACATAAGCACAATACAAAATCAAGAAAAAATGTAGAGCAGATTGAGAGGGATAAGAGTTGGCAGAGACTCAAAATGAAACTTTAAGTATGCTAACCAGTGTTGGCAAAATTGAGACGCTACCTTGAGGAGGAAATTAGTAGAACTGTGTTTGTTGTTATTTGTTACAACAGCAATAAGAATAGCACGAAGGTATTAGAGTATAGCTCCAAATGTCAGAAGTCGAAAATGTGTCTCACTGGACTAAATCTCAAGATATTAACAGAGCTGCATTGCTTCTGGAGGATCTAAGGGAAGCCCTATTCCCTGGTCTTTTCCAGCTTCTGGAGGCTCCCTGCTTTCTCTGGCTCCCGACTACCTCACTCCAATCTCTACGTCTGTCATGTCATCTGTTTCTCTGACTCTGACACTCTTGCTTCCCTCTTATAAGAACCCTTTTAATCACATCAAGCCTACTGCGATAAAACAGGAAAATCTTCCCATCTCAAGCCCCTTAAGTTAGTCACCTCTGCAAAGTCTGTTTTGCCACATAAAGTAACAGGTTCCAGGGATTCATTCATGGACATCTTTGTCCTGCCATACTTACCGATGAGAACAATTTCCTAACCAAGGAATTTAGAGGCTATTGTGCGGCGAACCAAGTCCTTCACTGATCTCTCTCTTCCCTGGCCCTCTCCCACCCTGTTATCCTGCTCATATTTGCATCTCTACCATCAATTTTTATTGTGGTTTCCCAAAATAGAGACATGTATATCCATTCCTAATGTCAAGGCTCAATGGAAGTGAGGATGTTCATCATGCGTTGATTCTAGACATGACTGCTACAGACAGAGGGAACAGCCAGTGCAAAGGCTCTAAGGTTCCAGCATGTCTGGGATATTGAAAGAACAGCAGGAAAGCCAGAGTGGAAGAGTAGGTGAGGATGTGAGTGCTGGGCAGTGACGCAGAGGTCACGGAGACCTATTCACATTGAATCTAGCAGGCCACTTTAATCATGAGAGACCTAAGAAGATAGTGGCAGACCCATCTGTTTGTGTCTGATATATTTTGGCTGCTGTGATCAATAAATCACTTCTGGGCTTAAGAAAACATGATGCTGGGCAAATCATAGAAAAGGTAAGTGTCATGATTTGCCTTGATCTTAGTCAATGACCAGAAATTACTTTTCTTCTCTTTAAACTGCCTTGGCACTGTATTGAAGGGTCAAATCTTAATTCAGGGTAAATAAACCATCTCCGTAGGGATATGGAAAAAGAAAAAGTTCCTGCCCCAAAGCCTCAGGAATCAGTCTACTGAACTGGCTTCATTCCCTGCTTCTTCCAAGAGCAGATAAGAAATCTCCTTACTCCCTCTCAGTTTCAGGAACCCCCATGCCATTAATAATGTATACGCATACATCTGTTTTGCATATGGACCAAGCAGAGACTACCAAACCTCTGAACTCCTGCTGGGTCCAGATGCCAAGATTGGGACCCTCCCCCATACCCAGGCAAAGGAAGCAGCAAGGGCTGGAAGGAGCCATGCTTTACAAAGTCATTCTCCTCTGGATTTCCTGCCTCCCTTGCCTGCCAAACCTCACTTCTCAAAAGCCAGGCTTCACCTTCTATGAGTCAGGTCAGTTGCGGAAAGAAACCGATTTCATATCAGGCTGTAACAGATGAGCTTTTAGGGTGTATGTGGCCTCAGGCGGAAGCCTGGACCTCCCATTAGTGTGCTCTGCCTTTGAGAGCTGAATGTGGGCCACTGAAGAAGTGACCAGAAGGCACTGGCCTACACCAAAGTCCGCTAGGACAAACAATGCCAATGTGCACTCTGAGGGGCTGGGGTACAACCAGCTGTGAGGTGTTTCCCGTGTTCCCTATAACCTGGATGTGCTGCTCATTATTTGATCATCTTCAGACTGGAGATGTGACAAGCTAGGCAGCCGCAGCCAGTTCTGTGCACACTGACAACTGAAAAGGGTCTTTGTTTCATGGCCCTTCACGTCATCTGGGAAGGAGCCCAGGAGGAAAAGAAAAGGGGGAAAGCAAATCAACCTTCCCGCCACTCACTGAGTGGCCCCGGCACTGAAGAAGCAAGAGGTACCAGGCAGAATTAACAACTGTGTCATCCCCACCCCATCTAAATAGATGCGTCTGTGAAACACATTTTGCTATCTAGAGCAATAAAGTGTGTCTCAAGTTCAAAACAAAACAAAACAAAAAACGCTACTGTACTTATTATTGTTGTTACTATTGTTAGTAGTAATAGTATTAAGAGATGGAGGAAATGGAAGAACAAATTTCTTTTCAAATGGCCAAGGGGAAATAATGAGGAATGTTTCCTGTAGGAAGCCTCGATAGTGGAAAACTATTTTAGAAAAAATAAAAGGTAGTCAAAATACAGAAATAATGTAAATACAGGTTTTATATTGGGGGAACTTGAAGCCATCAGCTTTCTGATGAATTTGGCAAGGAATAAGACTATGTCAGAGGCTTTTGTTTTTGTTCTTTTTAAACACAGGGTGTTTTGGTAACCCTGAGTCTGGGATATGTGGAACAGTTTTATTGGCAAGTTCGGCAGGGAGAGCACTTTCTTTTTTTGTTATTGGCCTACTCCTGGTGCCACATGCAGAAATAATATCCTAAACCAGCCTGGTAGTAACAGGGAGGTAACATTACACAGCTAATTCACACATGGCTCAACAGCAAGATTTTATGCACAGTAGTTTATTTTCACATAGCCACATCCACAGCAGAACTATGACACTTGTATAAGACCATGCACCAACTTACGTGGTGAGATACACTCCACACTGACCATAATAGATATGAAATTCCAGGCTTTCAAAAATATTCTCATTCGTATATGGAATGTGAATTTGATTTCAGATCTTTTAGTTTTTGAATACTTTAGAAGGTGGCTTCTTTTGTCTCTATTCTTTTGTCTCTTTTCAATCTTCCTAGCCCTGGCTTTTTTTTTTTTTTTTTTTTTTTTTTCGAATACAATTCGAACATAGAATAAGCAAGGGCCTATGTGGAATGAGGTCTGAGTGCCCAGGAAGTGCTCATCATCTTACATATTGCAATAGAAGCTGTAGGAGTCCATCATAAAAATGTTCTTCATTAAAACTAAGATTTCGACCCCTTTTCAAATACTTATAGGCCTGAGGGACATCATACATTTACATGAAAAATCCAAGAGCTCATTTTGGTGGAAGCTAAAGGAAGGAAAACATGATGGCAGAAAGAGGTGTATAGATAGTTTAAGGAGATTGGGTCTTTTCCAGAAACTTCCACACAGTTTCCAGCTTTGACTCAAGATGATTGTAATCCCAAAATACTATCAGGAAAGAGACAATAATTCACTGCTTGTGGACAGGGTAAATGATGAAACCAGTATAGTTCAACATCAGATTATGTGACATATTGTTTTTGATAAGATGAATGATTTGGGTGAATGAATGAATGAATTCTTTTTTTTTTTTTTTTAGACAGTCTCACTCTGTTGCCCAGGCTGGAGTTCAGTGGCGCAATCTCAGTTCACCACAACCTCTGTCTCCCGGGTTCAAGCAATTCTCCTGCCTCAGCCTCCCGAGTAGCTGGGATTACAGGCACCTGCCACTGCGCCTGGCTAGTTTTTGTAGTTTTTAGTAGAGACGGGGTTTCACTGTCTTGGTCAGGCTAGTCTAGAACTCCTGACCTCATGACCTACCCGCCTTGGCCTCCCAAAGTGCTGGGACTACAGGCGTGAGCTACCGCACCTGGCCTAATGAATGAATCTTGACCCATGGACGAACCACAGTGAAAGGATTATTGCTGAAAGAAGTAGACAATGAGGGATCAAAGATGTTGCTTTTTAAAATCTCTTATTTTCTCTTAGCCTTAGCTGTTCCATGTATCATATTAAATATAAAATGTAAAGGTGGCTCTTTGATTTTAACAAAGAAATAGGGTACCAGGGTGATAATAATAAACTGTTGCTTGGGCAAAATTAAGTGTCATCCATCTATATAGAAATTCATACTTCCCAAAGCCATAGCCCTTAATGCACTCTGTCTAAAAATGTATTTGACTTTCATAAGCATATAGGCCTTGCTGTTCCTATTGCATAGCTCAAAAAAGTGACATCTAAAAAATGGATGTGACTAGCTGAAGATTAATCAGTTAGCATTGATGCTGTCAGTAGACCCCACACCCTATCATTCCCAGACAAAATCCCTTTCAGCCCAGCTCAGGGCCCACATGATCATGGTTACCTAAGTTGTGGTGGCAGCTTGAATCTGTTACGCACATCATCCAGACGGTTGCCCAAGTAAGGTGTGTCCACTGTCACAAATATGGCCTTGTAGCCCGTCTTCTCTGCCTGCCGCACTAGCCTCTTGGTGACTTCTCTGTCCTTGTAGATATACAGTTGCAGCCAACGAAGCGCCTCAGGACCAGCTTCTGCCACTTCTTCAATTGAGGAGGTGGCCCAGGAACTCAACATCATGCCCGTTCCCAGGGAGTGGCAGGCTGAGAAGGAAAGTAGATGATCAAGACAGGCCTGGCATTGCTCATCCTCCCAAGCCTTTGAATTGTAGTTCAATGAGTAAAGGCCTCTAGAAGGGCAATTAGGCAATATGAACTCAAATCTTTTAAAGAGAGAAGCAAGTCCAGTCCATACCATCTATTTCCTGACTCTACCTCCTCTGATACAAATGGCTGCTGGAGTTACTGCTGCTCGGTGTTTATTTCACATGATTAGAAATACACAATTCTGGCTGGGTGCGGTGGCTTACACTTGTAATCCCAGCACTTTGAGAGGCTGAGGCAGGTGGATCATAAGGTCAGGAGTTTCAGACTAGCCTGGCCAAGATGGCGAAACCTTTTCTCTACTAAAAATACAAAAATTAGCCAGGCACAGTGGCTGTAATCCCAGCTACTAGGGAGACTGAGGCAGGAGAATCATTTGAACCCAGGAGGCAGAGGTTGCAGTGAGCCAAGATTGTACCACTACACTCTAGCCTGGGCAACAGAGCAAGACTCCATCTTAAAAAATAATAATAATAATACACATTTCTTTCCATACTTTGTATATGGTTCCTGAAGAAGAAAATGAGTCCAATAGTCAAAAATGTCTGTAAATAGTGGCAAAAAAATGAAGAACAACCTGAATGTCCAGTCTTAGGGGACTGGTTAAACTGTAGTTCATATATAAAATGAAATGAAGATACCCATTAAAATTAATATTCTTATGATGATCAATTTTCTGTGTCAATATGCTAAACCATGGTGCCTAGATATTTGGTGAAACATGTCTGAACGTTGCTATGAAAGTGTTTTGTAGATGAGATTAACATTTTTATTAGTAGATTATGAGTAAAGCAGATTATCTCTCATAATATGAGTGAGTCTTATCTAATCAGCTCAAGATCTTAAGAATAAGGTGCAGTGGCTCATGCCTGTAATCCCAGCACTTTGGGAGGATGAGGCGGGCAGATCATAAGATCAAAAGATCGAGACCATCCTGGCCAACATGGTGAAACCCCATCTCTACTAAAAATACAAAAATTAACTGGGCATGGTGGCACACGCCTGTAGTCCCAGCTACTCAGGAGGCTGAGGCAGGAGAATTGCTTGAACCCAGGAGGCGGAGGTTGCAGTGAGCCGAGATTGCACCACTGTACTCCAGCCTGGCACCTGGTGATGGAGCGAGACTCTGTCTCAAAAAAAAAAAAAAAAAGAAGACTGTGAAGGAGAAGGAGAAGGAAGACTGCTAAGAAGAAGAATATTTCTGCAAGGATCCTGAATTCAGACTGGAGCTGCAACATCAGCATTTCCCTGGGTCTCTCTGCAGATTTGAACTTGCATACCTCCACGAGCATATGAGCCAATTCCTGAAAGTGTCTATCTATGGATAGGTATTTTAGAGATAAAGATAGGTAGAGATAGAGCGATAGACGTATGTATGTATCTATCTGTATCTATCAAGAGAGAGAAAAAGATGAGAAATCTTCCAGAGGGAGATCCTACTGATTCTGTTTCCCTGGAGAACCCTGAGTATTACAATTATAAAATAATATAAACATAGAAAGATGTTTAAGATATATGGACATATTAAAGAAAGAAAAAGGTTTACAAAATGACATGTATTACATGATATCACATTTATACAAATGTAGTTATTGGTAGATGAATCTAAACAAACTAAACGCTAATGATGGGTGGGAGAATTATGGGGTTAGTTTAAATTTTTCTTCCTTTTTAATTTTAAAATTTTATCCTTCAAAATGATATTAAAGATATAGTCTACCATTTATGTTGTCTTTTAAAATCTCATAAAATGTGTGTGTTAGATATCCCAAGTAGACACATCTTTTTGAGCAAGGTAGCAGTTATATTTTGGGACGAAATGTAGCAAGAAATGGGCAAATAAATGAAAAATTAAATAGAATCATCTAACTAATACCTTTAGAGGGTACTTGAAAGAACATGGGTGATAGGCTTTCTTCCAAAAATAGGTAGTAAAATTGGAGTCAGCTTTAGTGAAGGAGAAACTGATAGATGTTTATATGCAATATTTAAAACAGTCAAAGCTATTATAAAGTATAAATACATTAAAGTGTATTATGTGAAACTATTCCTCCAAGTCATTTGACTCATCTGCGTGCCCACCATGCATCAAATGGCTATAAATATAGTTGTCCTAGTGACACTCACAGGATGTTGATGGAAATCCAGTGAGTTGCTGTTTGTAAATCTACAATGAGAGTTTAAAAAGTTCCCATGATTCTCAAACTTTAGCAGGACAACCAAATGCCCTGGAGGGCATGTGAAAACACAGATTTCTGGGTCCCACCCACAGAGCTTCTGGATCAGTAGGTCTGAGATGTGGCCCCAGAGTTTGCCTTTCTAACCAGCTCCCAGATGAGGCTGATGCTGGATCACACTTTGACATTTAAACAGTACCATAGCCATTAGATAGTAAAATTCTCAGTTTAAATGCAATAAAATGGATTTTGTTTTTGAGGATTGTTAATTTTTCAATGCCTTTGAAGGTGTTTTTCATACATGTTCTCCAGGTCAGTGGTTAGCTACAGAAGATCTGACTTGGAGGTCATCCTGTCTATAGATCACTAATCTGTTTGGGACTTTCTTTCACAGAAACTCATGACTGGCAAAATATTGTCCAAAACCCCCATTTTATTAAGTAACAACACAAATGAACATCCGGACCACTGTCTGATTTGGGTTAAGATGGGGAAATGTGGAAAATAAATTCAGGTCACTTATTGCTGTTTGAAAGGAACACCAAGGGACATTGATTGCTTGGATCAAAATCCTCTAACGATCAATTCGCCTAAAAGAAATTATGTCCTGTCTGGGCTTGGTGGCTCACGTTTTAATCCCAGCACTTTGGGAGGTCAAGGTGGGTGGATCACTTGAGGTCAGGAGTTTAAGCCCAGCCTGACTAACATGGTGAAACCCTGTCTCTACTAAAAATGCAAATATTAGCTGAGCATGGTGGCGCACGCCTGGAATCTCAGCTACTTGGTGGGGCACTGAAGCACGAGGATCGCTTGAACCTGGGAGGCAGAGGTTGCAGTGAGCAGAGATAACACCACTGCACTCCAGCCTGGGTGACAGAGTGAGACTCTGTCTCAAAAAAAAAAAAAAAAGAAAAAGAAAAAAATTATGTCCTGAAGAGGATGTTACCTAAGATCACACAGAGATAAGGAGAATTCAGCATGTCTGACAACTCTGCCAGAACAATGATCTTTCTAGACTCCCTGCACGCCTAAATGACTCCTTGGTACCAAGCATAGACAAATGCACTCTCTCAATATTTCAGGGCAATGACACCGAAGAGAGTAGGTTTGCCTTGTGCATGAGAGACACTGCCATGTGTTGGGAAGGCATGGAATCTTGGAATCAGGTGGGAAGGTCCTCCGTATACTGGAGGTACAGAATGTGGATGCACAAAGGGGTCTGGCAAAGAGAATCACTCAGATAACAGGGCATGTTTTTGTAGTTAATACAAATACATCATGTTGTCTAGCAGCAGTTGTGCCGATAGGGAGGTCAAAATCCACAAAAGGATTCCCTTGAACTCTTAAGAAATAGCTACAGACATTCCACACAGATTACCAAAATGGCAAAAACACCCACAATTCCATTTCTTTCAAATCATCTGACTTGCAGAAGTGTCAGCCCTCACAAACAATTTACCCAAATCATTTGGGTATGCATATTTAGAGAGAAGCAAGTCTGGTCCGTACCATCTGTTTCCTGATTCTACCTCCTCTGATACAAGTGGCTGCTGGAGATATTGCTGCTCAGTGTTTATTTCCCAATAATTAAATAATACATTGCTGAAATTTTGAATCAGAGTCACCAAAATTATTTCAAGAGAATGCTCCTGCATGTAGGGGGCATATCAGAGTCTGTCTAAGGTATTATCCTTTGAAGCTGGAAGAAAACAGAGGAGCAAAACATCAGGCTCCATACTCCCTGGAACAATATGAGTGATCACTGTGATCTTAATCCACTTGTGACTATTTGCTGTGACAAAGAAAAATTATTGATGAATTACATTCCTTATTTTTAATACAGTTTTATGTTAGAATGAGCTAAGGGAGTCTGGGAATTTATAAGGATCATTCAGTGAGGCAAATATTTGTCTACTTCTTAAGGACAGATCTGAGATGAAGTTGATACATACCAGAATGGCAATTATGTTTGTTGAATTATTAAAATACTTCCACTTCAACTGGTAAATAGCCACGTCTCTGGAGTTAATAACCCTAGCCCCTGAGTCCCTTCAATATGCCATTGTGCTTCAGTGTTATCACTTCCTTTTCTCCCCAAGGAACCCCTGGACTTCCTCACAATCCAGCAACTTAAACATCAGTGCCTGGCAGAGCAGGGGGCATCCACCCTGTTAGAGCATTCTACCAAAGAGACACATGCACCTGTATGTTAATCACAGCACCATTCATAATAGCAAAGACATAAGATCAATCCATGTGCCCATCAATGGTGGATTGAATTTTTAAAATGTTGTACATATACATCATAGAATACTATGTAGCCATAAAAGAGAACAACATCATGTCCTTTGCACCAACATGGATGCAGCTGGAAATCCTTATCCTAAGTGAATTAATGTAGTAACCAAACACTGAATACCACATGTTGTCACTTATAAATGGAAGCAGAACATTGGATACACATAGTCATAAAAATGAGAACAATAGATGCTGGGGAATACAAGAATGGAGTTGCGATGGGGAAAAGGGCTGAAAAAAACTACCTGTTGGGAACTATGCTCGCTGCCTAGGGGATGGATTCATTTGCACTCCAAACCTCAGCATCATGCAATATGCCTTTGTAACAAACTTGCACACATACCCCCGGTCTTGAAATAGAAGTTGTAAAAAGAAAAAATAATGGGCAAAGGATCTGAACAGACATTTCTCAAAAGAAAAGATACAACTGGCTTATAGATATATGAAAGAAGCTCAGCATCTCTA